TCTCTGTATTCCCCATGTAAGAGAAACTATCTGATTTTTATCTTTTTCTTTCTGACTTATTTCTCTTAGCTTCTTCCCTCCCAGGTCGGTCCATGTTGCTGCAGATGGCATAAATTCATCTTTTTTGATCGCGGAGTGTTTTTATTCCACGCTGTGCATATCACACATTCTTGACCCATGCTTCTGTTTGGGGGCATTTAGATTGTTTCCATATCTTGGCATTGTAAAAAGTGCTAGTTGCAGTCCTTCGTAGGTGCTTTGAGATGTAATTCAGTCAGAGCAAATTGGGGCCGGTGCATGTCTTGATCCAAAGGTATACGCACTCACCGGTGATGAGGGTCACGCATGAACCTGCATTTACGAGTGTGTGTGCTGTGTTTAGTGGACTGTTATGGTAGGCCCCATGCTTGGGCATTGCCTTTTAGAAGTTTATTCCTATTTTGTCTTTCGGACGGGGGCTCACTTGGTTCATGAAGATAATTTTGAAACTTGATGCTGTTTTCCCATCACGTTAGCTATTTTTCCCAGCTCTGTATTGTAGGCCGATAGAGTAAACATAAATATTTGTAAAACTATTCCTGAAATAGACCACAAAGAGAGAGCTTGGGGACCCTGCTGGTGGAGCAACTGGTTAGGATGCAGCACTGCAAGCTAGCTGCAGCCCCTTCAATGCAAATTCTGTCCCCGGCCCCAGAGGTGACCCATTTGGCGTGGCAGATCTCTCCTGTCTCGCCCACTGCTCCCCTCAGCAGTGTACTTCGTCTATCTGCCTATTCTGCTCCCTACTCTGTCTTGGGTGAATCCTCTCACTGCCTCTGCATCTCTTACCTGTGCCCCAGTTCTCCGTGCATAAATACATAAATATTTTTTTAAAAAAGAGAGAGCTTGGTAAGATGTCAGAGATATTTCTCAAGTCTGCTTCAGATCATTGATCTACATGCTGCTTCTAATTTTTCAGCTGGCTCTGGCTTTACCTAATTATGTTAGCCAGCCAGATTTCTTTGTGTTATTCATAAGGCTATTGTGAATGTTCAGAATTTTCCTGGAATTAAGTTATTCTTCCTTTGATATTCTTCAATCTACCAGAATTTGGCAGAGTGTTAGTGGTGGGAGTGAGGGATAGGAAACAACCAGGATGCCTAAGTGGTTGTAGAGTAGAAGGTGGAAGACAGCTACTCTCTGAGATCCAGAATCCTGGGAAAAGGGCTGGTTTGCAGTTTAGTTGCGCTTGGGTCAGGTAGAACATGGGGCCTCTGCAGGCTGCACACATGGAGCCACCCAGAAAGTGGCTGACCCACTGAGACCTGTGTGCTGGGGGTGGCACTGTCTGGTTGGCATGACATAAGCCGTGTTGAGGGCGTGAGCTTTGCTGTGCACAGAGGAGGTTCTGGACCAGCAGAGAGGGAGGGGAGAAACATTGCTGCCTTGAGGGAGTTGATCCATGCCTGATTAGCTCCAGGTTCTTGTTTTTTGTTTGTTTTTGGCTGTGAACTGGGAAGAAACCTCATCTATTATAAGAGAGGGAATTGGAGACTTGAGAGCAGTGAATACTTGGAATCAGTGTGGGAAGTAGTCAAGCATGCGAAGGACAGGAAAAGGAACGCTGTATACAAGTAGAGCTCCCTTAAACTCACAAGGGATTCCTCTGCCCTCTTTATTAAGAGCTTCATGCTGCTGAAACACTACAGCAGTAGAACTCACCCGTTTTGTCAGAGCATGGAGGGATGCAGTGTGTGCCTGCTCCCCAGGGATTGGTGCTCAGCCACTAGGGAATGAACTCAGGAAAATGAGGGTAGGAGCCTTGTTCCTAGGTCAGAGATTCTAGTGGTGGGCTGGGGTGTTTTCGACCTCACTGTCAGCCTGGGATTTAAGAGGAGCGGAGAGAGGCCCTTTGCTTCACCTTGAATACCCGGGGTGGCTCCTCAGGGTTAATGTGTCCTCTCTGCTGGGTGTTTTTCCCTGAAAGCAAAATGTCTGGAGTGTGGTGCCCACACAGGGGCCCTCCCTCCGGGAGTCCTCCTGCTGGAGAAAGGCTCTCAGGAGCTGAGGAGAGCTGCTCTCCCCAACCTGGCTGAGTTTAAGTTTATGGAAACCACCAAACCACCTTGGGGGAAATGGTGTACATATGGATGTGTGTGGAAAGCCTCTGCTTTGGTGGGTGAAACATCCATGACCCAGTACGGGCTGATAGATTCTATTGTAAAGTTCACAGACACTCTGCCTTTTCACTCGCCACAGAAGTATTCCCCACTCGTGTCAGTAGCTCCTTTCTAGGTAAATATTCCAAACTTTTTCCTGCCACTGCTTTGTGAACCTGGCCTAATATCTTTATACTTTTACTGTGTCTGCTTATCCCCAAACACAAGGTTCTTCTTCCTCTGTGTCTCTAGTGAGTATTATTTAGTTTTATCCATTTTTTTCCCTGTTTTCTTGCCTGATTCAGGGTCTAAATGGGTGTTTGCTTCATACCAGAAGCCTTGATTTTTCTGGGGAAGTTTAGCAAAAATGTAGACTAGTCCTTGATTTGACATGACTGATTAATTAAGCAAGCAGCAGCTTAGTAAGAAGCAAAGCCTGGAGTAGAACAGTTTAATTAGCTTCTGTCTGTTGAGGCTTTAATGGAAGCCACAATTTATATGAAGCTTTTTAGTTTTGAAATGTTTTTGCAGAGAGACTCAGCATGTATCCCAAAGACACCAGTTAGCTGAATTTAAGTCTTTTGAAAATATGAAATAGCCAGAATTACAAAGAATTAATTAAAACCAACTTTTTAAGGAATGATCAGTTGTCTAATGGTGAACTGCATGATATCCTCTGTATTTTATGACTTTTGATAAGCATTCATGAAATAAAAACTCATGACATATGCTGAATTTTAACAAAAGTAACTGAGCAGCCCTGCCATCTTTAAGACCGGCAGAGAACATATAAAACCTGTCAGGGCAAACCATCCTCACATTTAAGATTAAACTCTGTTGTTTAATCTCTGTTGTTCTGGCTGCTGGTTTCAGATTCCTCACATGTCGGCTCACCTGGCCTCCAGATCACTATTTGCTTTAATCTTCCAAACGTCTTTTTTCCCTTATATTGCATTTAACAAAATTATAATAACAGTTAATTTGTGTACAAAGCTTATTTATATGTATTATTTGGTTAATATTAAACTTAGGTTAAAAGACTGCAAATTAAGTTTTTCAAATACCCAATAAACACATGTTGATTTAAAAAAAAAGTAAATGAGCAATAAAGTTAATGGAATCTCACAGAGAAGAATTGTAATATCAATATTTTTACTGAGTACACATACCAGAAAGAGAGAATGAGAAAAGAATTCATTACAGACACATGAATTTTGTCAGAAGGGGCCCTGTGGGAGACTGATTCTTATTATGATATCCTGGCAGGAAGGCAATGAAGTGGGGTTATTGCTAGTGCAGTCAATGGCTTGGTTTTTCTCTAGCGAATTGGCTTCAGTAGGTGACTTTATTTCTTCACATTAGGCAGCTGGAAATATGGATTGATTCATTTCCTTTCCATTTGAGGGTCAGCCCTATTGAAGGTAGAGAGTGAGTGCAAAATGCTGTATTTGCTGCATATAAGCAAATATTTTAGCGTCTTTTTGGTCTGACCGTTTCTAAGATTTTTAGACCAAAGTTTAGCTCAATGAAATAGAAAACATACTTTGAATATACATACATGGATATTACTATTCTTCCTGCTATTTCTAGTCTTAAAACCTTGAGATCCTTTAATAAACATCTTTGTATTTTAGAGATTAAAAAATCCCAGAAGATTTTTAGTCGAAGGATATGTGTGAAAACAGAATATTAAAAAAAACCTAAATACTAATTTCAGCAGTAGCAATAGTGGTGTGGTTCTTTCTTTTTTTAAGGTAGTATTTATTATCCTTCTTAAGATGATATTTACTTTAAATGTTGTTTATTCCACTCTATAATCAGTTTTTGTTGCATAATTATTTTTGGTTTTGCTGATAAGATTTTCACCTAATTGCTTCTTGAAAAATTATCTAACCAACTTTCCCATTTATATATATAGGAGGAAATTGGGGCATAGAAAATTTTAATTAAAAATTTTATTACAGGCCCTACCTGGTGGCGCAGCAGGTTAAAGCACCGCACTAAGAAGCTTGAGCCACTTTCGCATGAGTTCGATTCCCGCCTGCCAGGGAGGAGATCCACATGGCCAGGCAGACCTCTCCTGACCCGCCCGCTGCTCCCCTCAGCAGTGTACTTCATCTATCTGCCTGTTCTGCTCCCCACTCTGTACCTGGTGAATCCTCTCACCCTCCGCATCTCTGCCTGTACCCCAGTTCTGTATGAATAAATAAATAAATCTTAAAAAAAATTTATTACAATAGGAATGCTTTCAGTTATAGTACTAGAATTCTCTGAATATTAGACCCTGAAACTTAGCTAATTTTGAATATTGTTATTAAATTTGTTTCCTGAAATTTGTAATTTATTGAGATTTTTAAGATTTTCCCCTTTCATTTAAATACAAATGTAATATAAATGACAGGTGGAAAAGTGAAAAACACCTAAGACTTAAAATTCTTAGTTTCTTTGTTCTTTTCCTTTGTGGTAAATCACAAAAAAAAAAATACAACCATATACTTTTTTTTTTTTTTTAAAGATTGATTTATTTATGCACACAGAACTGGGGTACAGGCCAGAGGTGCAGGGGCGGTGAGAGGATTCACCAAAGACAGGGTGGGGAGCAGAACAGGCAGACTGAGGAAGTACACTGCTGAGGGGAGCAGTAGGTGAGACCGGAGAGGTCTGCCACGCCATGCGGGTTACCACCAGAGCCAGGCATCGAATTTGCACTGCAGTGGCTGTGGCTCACTTGCAGTGCTGCGCTTTAACCTGCTGTGCCACCCGGGAGGGCCCACATGCCCTTTTAAAGTAAAATAAATCAATAAATAAAGGTTTATCATGAGCAATTTCAAGCTATTCATTGCTACCTTTTCTCTTAACAGGTTGATGAGCTATGGATATGAAACTGATCACCAGCACTGCCTTCACCAGCTTTTTCACCTTTCAGCTTCTTTTTCACTTTGTAAGTTACTGGTTTTCAGCAAAAGTTTCTCCAGGTTTTAATAGTCTCAACTTTGAAAAGAAGATTGAATGGAACTCAAGGTAAAGCCTCTGAAAACGTTACTGACTAACTTAAAAAGAATTCGTTTTAAGAAATTATTTACATTCTTTTCAAAAAGTCTTTCCTTTAGGACCTAACAAAGTCTAAGGTAATGCACGAACATTTTACGAATTCTACTAGTGAAATATTGTAGGAAAAATTGATTGCACTTTCTGAGAAACTATGCGAAGGGTAATCAGTAGAGTCCAGCTGCTGTCAAGGGGGACTGTTTTGCATTCTTCTCTGAAATATTAGTGATAACAAACACATGTTCTTTGGAAATGATAACAGGAGTAAACATCCAGTGGGCTGCGAGTGGCCTAAATACAGCTTTGCCTGTGAGCAGAGCCAGAGCAGCTACACTCGGAGCCTCTTTTGCATTCGTAGCGCTCTCTCTTCATGAACTTTTCACTTCAGAACCCTTCCGGAACCTCTTCCTGTGCTGTATAATTCTAAAGTAAAAAATGTTTTTTTGATTTTTTTTAAACAAACAAAAAAATAAATGGAAATGACAGGATCTCCAAGGACATGTAAATCTGTGGGAGTTTCAGTTAGTTGGTTTGCAAACTTTTGCTACCTGCCCTTCATTCATCTCCCACAAGGATGGTTCTTCATTTGTTGACTTGCAGCATTCCAGGCACCCAAACATTTGGCTCTGTAAACCACTGTGATTTGCAGTAGCTACTAGCAATACTTTATGTTGTTCTTATTTAGTTAAATTTAAGACTAGCAACAAAATGAATTCAGTAGGTCTGTAAAACAATTATTTTTCCATTGGCATTTCCTTTTAGAATTCAAGATCACTACCAGTATCTAAGTAGTTATTTGAGAATGGTCCTATTTGGCCTGAAATCCCTACTTTGTTTGAGTTAAACTGTTCTGTAGGCATCCCCTTACAACTCAGATGGTGAGTAAGACAGTTGTCGTCTATATATTACACTGGTTTATTCTGTATATACCCACTCCAGTTCCTGCCACCTCAAAAGTGTGAAATATTTCTCCACAGATTTTTGTAAAATAAGAGGCATGATTCATTTGTCTTAAGAATAGCACAAAGATATTGTTCAAATGCAGGCTACAAAAGGTACCAACCATTATTTTTAAAACACTTTCTACTGTGAAGATAGATAGACTAGTGGGAAAGAGAAGTAAGAGGCAAGGGGCATACCTTTTCTGTAGCTAAATTTTGAGCTACTTTTCTTTCCTTTCACCGTGATTAGTGATTAGGGTAGATGAAAGCATTTGAATTTGGAGAGCTGCAAGCCAAAGAAATAGCAAATGTACTGAAAAAGGGAGCAAAGATTAAAACAAAGTGATGAAATTGAAAAATACGTTCCTTTATTCTGTCTTCTTGCTGCCATTGGATGATGCCTGGGATGGCTGTTTGGGAAGCTGAGTGTGCATCATAAAGGGAGCCTGAAACTGTACCAGATTCATTACAATATCCCACTGGTCTCTCTCTCTCTCTGACTTACTCCCATTTCCCAGTCAAACTTGCTTTACATAGGACTTAAGGTTAGAGTGCAAGGACAAAATTGTCTGCTTTTTGAGTAAAGCTCACATGTAATATATGTCCTGGTCCAGCGTCCAGTCTTGAAATACATCCACAAAACAAAAACAATTCAGTTTTCCCAGCAGTCAGGAGTCTCTGAACAATGAGTGGTCTACACCACCTAGTAGAAAAAGAACCAGAGGAAAGAAGCAGCTCTGGGAAATGCACCCCTAAGAGAAGTGAGAAATTGTGATACTTGTTACTTTTCAGAAAATATACATACTTGACCATTATTATTTATATCTCCATTATTTACATATAAACATTTGTGAATGATTAAATCAGTGACTGGATGTTTCTTCTGTTCATTGCAGTTAGATCTGTTTGATTCCAGTAATGATCAGCTTTTCTCTTATGAAATATGCCATTTTCATCAGCTGAGGTCTTTTAATTTTTCCCATTTACCATAACAACCTTTCAGCAAAGAAGTTTTTTTTTTTTTTTTTAAAGATTTATTTATTTGGCCCTTTCTGGTGGCACAACAGGTTAGTATGCAGCACTGCAAGCCAGCCACAGCCGCATCAGTGCGCGTTCTCTCCCCTCCCCGGATGCTATCCATATGGCACAGCAGACCTCTCCTGACCGCCCACTGCTCTCCTCAGCAATCGGCGTGTTCTGCTCCCCACTCTGTCTCTGCTGAATCCTCTTACTGCCCCTGCACCTCTGGCTTGTACCCCAGTTCTGTATGAATAAAATGAATCTTAGGAAAAAAAGATTTATTTATTAATGCATACAGAACTGGGGTACAGGCCAGAGGTGTGGTGGGTAAGAGGATTCACCAGAGACAGAGTGGGGAGCAGAACAGGCAGAACAATGAAGTAACACTGCTGAGGGGAGCAGTGGGCCAGACAGGAGAGGTCTGTCATGCCATGTGGGTCACCCCTCTAGCGGGGGATTGAATTTGTGCTTCAGTGGCTTCAGAGAGCTCCACACATAGTGTGTCACTTTAACCTGTTGTGCCACCAGAGAGAAACCAGAGAAGTATTTTTAAAGCTTGAGTATAAGGAACAAAAAGTTAGATTTTTTTTTCCAAAAAGTTAGAAATTTTTGATATTAGGTTGGTAAATATTGAAGTAGCCAAAGACCATGTTTCTTTCTTTTCTTAGAAGTTTTTGATAACAAGTGAGTTGTATGACTGTTTAGATGGAATGTGGAGTGTTCTATTTGATGTCAAGGAATGCACATTTTTATCCTTCTATGTTCAGATGGAATTCAAGTGTGCTTGTCATGAAAAGTCCACATTCATACACCTGACAAATTGGGTTAATTATTCACATTTCAAAATGGTCTTTTTAAGTGCCTCTGATTACTTAAAATACGATTTGATTTAACATAATATATCTGTTTCAGAGCCCATCATCTATTAAATCTAGTGTGTTGAGTTTTTAAGTTATAATAAGACCTTTATATTAGTTGATATATTTTACTTTTAAAGATTGTGGGTACATACTGAGGAGAGACATTCATTATGTACTATTAACATCTAGAGAAACAACTGCTATTCTTTCATCCTTTATTTTAATGAAGGGAAAAGAACTTCATAACGTATAAGTTTTATTGTGTGAATATGTGTAGTATTCTGTATATGGGCTCTTTCGGTAGCTATCATAGTGATTTGGTGTCAGTAAATTATTAGCAAAGTGTTCACAGACGAATGTTTTCCATCTAAACCTGTTCCTTCTATAAAAGAAAATTCCATCTGGATTCTTGTGAACATTTTGCTTCCACTTGGGTCCATCTTTTAAACAGGTTTTCTGCATAAATTTATAATCTTCAATTTTGCTATTGAAAAATGCATTTGTAATAGTGATAGAGACTCATAGTTGCCGCCCTGGCCTTCTGAGAGCTTGCTTACAAGAACCGAGCACAATAATGCATGTGAGTGTGCATCTAAAATGGAAATCTACAAGGCAATACATCATCATTTCATGGAATTCAAGGGATAGCGTTAGCTAACAGATCTGGAAGTCATTTCTGACTGATTGGAGCAGGAAACCCTGCATTGAGATTGTTGGGCATGGAGCGCCGAGCTGGCAGCAGAGAGGTGGGCTTACCTGTGCCAGGTGGTGTCTACACAAGACTGGCAGCAGTGCCATCACAGACACTTCTGCTTTATGACTTCATCAGTAAGCGGGTCACCAGTTTTCTAGCAGGAAGTTATGGACCTGGCCATTCTTCTTATTATTTCCAAAGAGAGGGTGTGGCCCATTTCAAAAAGGCAGTTTGTATTATCCTCTCAGTTGTACTCTGTCCCTATGTTTAAATGCTTTCTGATTTAAGTTTTTCAGAATGTTAAATGACCTGCCGAACTTCAAATTTATTGCACAGAATAAAAAATCACTGTGTTTTGTTTCATTTCAGGGTTGTATCGACATGTCATTCTTTGATTGTTGGGATTCTGGGCCTGTACATTTTCTTTTTTGATGAGGATTCTCTAGCTGATCCAGTTTGGTAAGCTATTTCCTCTTACATCGTCCATTTGATTTATGTTTTGATGTTAATTATTAACAAGAACATCTCTTACTTTACTTTAAAGTGAAATATATTGATGGTGTATGTTTTATTAAGATGCTGTGCCTAGACTTATTTCAGCAAGGTGTATTAAAAGACTTACTTTAGATTTGAGTACAAATAATGTGGGCCATTTTGCTTTAGTATCATAATTGTTATCCAGAATAGGGAGCGACAGTGATGATGCAGACATTTTTACTGTGTTAGTGAATAAAAGCAAGTTATTGCTATCACTAAGCAAAAAGAGGTGATGAAGCTAGGATAAGCAGTTTAGAGAATACTTAAGGCTTAGTGTTCAAACTTTTGTTTGGTCCATCATCTTCTATCTAAGATATGAAAATGAGAATTATAGATGACCATTATGAGGACTTGAGTACTGAATGAGAAGATTTGAGGCACTAGTAATAACTGTTCTGCAATACAAAGATAACTTCACAATGATTCTTTTTGAAAAATTTAAATGTTGTTCAAATCGCAGAAGTTCTACAAACTATTTTTCCTAACAGTACACGAGAAAACATAGTTCAGCTTAGTTTGAGAGATTAGATGGCTTCTGAGAAACCTCTGCATCAGATAGGCAGACGTGGGCTCTATGGCATGTTGAACCGTTTAACCAGGTCTCCTAACCCCACTGTTTGACAGCCGTAGTGCTGGTCTTTATTCATAAATGTGGAATTATACTCATCAGAACTATGCCAGTTTAGTAAATTTTCACTGGGTAATTTCAAAACAACTCAATTTAGAGAATTTAGTTTCTAGACCAAATTTTAATATATTAACCTACCTAAATAATTTTTTGGATATTTTAAATTTTTCTTTGATCCCTTAATATACCTAGGTCCAGTTTTCCTGGGTTATATTTGTGGATCAATATTGGTAAAGAAATGGCTTCTGCCATGTACTTGAGCTCTGACTGCTTTTGTAGTGTGTCCTTTGCACTAGCAGTTCATATTACAGAGAAAAGACTGAGATTATATTTGTTTTTCCCCTTTAAAATGCTAGAAAGGCAAAAGTGTAGAGCTCCATACAGCAGGGCTAAAGAGTTTTTTACCTTTACCATAGGTAAATCCCTCTAGTTCTCAGTAAGGTAGTAGTGTATTGCTTCAGCGTCAGAGGTGGGATCTTTGAACTTGTAATTCTGATACAGAATCCAAACAGTCAGCATCTCAAATCCCAATTGAATCTTTTTGCAAACAAATTGTTTGAGAAATATGTTTATAAAAAGTTTTCTTTTTTAAACATTATTTTCATGTATTTTTAGCTCAGATAAATCATTATTCATCCAGTAAGAAGTATTATGATAGCTAACAGTACCTTGTGCAAATGACAATTTACCACTTGGGAATCTATAGAAAGCATTTTAATTATATTTAAACTCCAATAGAATAAAGGTAGCTGTCATTTATAACCTATGTACTAAAAAAAGTAACCTTTTTTTTAAATTTAGGGGTGAGTCAACGCTTGTGAAAGTGAATATTTCTATTGCTAGCGGCTACCTCTTTTCTGGTATGTGATACAGTGTTCATTGTCTGTTTCTTTTTAAACCACTCATAGATGATGCAAGTAATGCGTAGGATTTGCTTTGGTTTATTTATTTGAGTAGTACCTTTTCGGACCCATACTGGAGAAAACAAACACCTGCTGTGATGGCAGAACACCCGATGTTTTTGCTGCTGGCTCTTGGCCCTGAAGTTCAGGACTGCAGAGTGGGGCTCCTGAACCTCATATTGCTTGCTGATGGTGGCCCCTTGTTGTCCTAAAGAGTCCCTCAGGTGGAATTATTGTGATACCAATCAAGTTTAAGCCTCAAGGCCCCTCATTTGCAAGAGCCTTGCAGTATGTTCTCATGACCATGGCTTTGTGAAAACGTGTGAGAGTAAGCTAAGTTAGCCACAGTCTTTTAAGTTCTTGGACTCTTTCTACTCTACATTTCCCTGCTGTATTTCCTCTCACACTGAATGGGGTTAGAGTAGCCTTTTATCCAAGGAGACATTATGGGAATTAAATGGGGAATATGCCATTTTAACTGCTCTTTGAAAAGCCATCTTGGTCTGTCTCAAGACAAGAGAGAAATAACAGATGTCTGATTCATACATTGAGCCTTATTTGTAATTTTTAAATTTATTAAATAACTGAAAGAAATATCTAAAAACAAACGATAGAATTTGAAGCAAAAGTAATAGAGACAAGTGATGGAGTCAACAGAAAATTTTCACCCAGAAGTGATGTTAAAAAATAAGACCTAGATTATATCAAAACATAGCAGTTCATCTAGAGAAAGAGATAACATTCAGGTAGAAATAATGAATAGTGTGTTCTCATAGACTGCATTATTAGATGGAATGATTGAAAAGAAGGGTGAATCATGGGGAAACATCCTTTCATTTGACACCAAATGCTGTCATTAACAAGGATAACGCAAAATTTTTAATGTGTCTCATGTGCTAGTTGATGAGCAATTCAATTCAAAGTAGTCACTACCTAGGAAATCTCAACTGAAAGAACCTTGATAATAGCTTTGCCCAAATTAAGTAACAACCCAAACACCTAAAAACAAGTTTTAAACAGAAACAAACATGTCTACACCAGGTGGAATGAAAAGTGAACATTTTAATTCTTGCTATGGAGAGTACTATGGGGGTGTAGGCTCAGAGTTGTCAGGAGAAAGAGTTGAATATATTGAAAAACAATGCCACTCTCTTCCTATGTAATACTATTTTTCTTTCTTACAGATTTGTTGATTCTCATTTCGTATTGGAAAGTGATTGGTGACAAATATTACATAGTGCACCATTGTACAGCTCTATATGCCTACTACTTTGTTCTGGTGAGTGCCAGGATTTACAGTAGCTTACCCAGCAGACAGAATTGGAAGTAATGACTTAAGGTGAACATAAATCTAAACATGCGGCTCTGAATTTACAAAGGCCAACTCCAAGTGCGTTCAAGGATCACTCTGGTTATATATTACCCTGTTTACTAACAAAAATAATAACTTGTATATATATTTGGATTCAGAAACTTGGAAGAAGGCAGATGACCCAATTTCTTAACTTTTTTCTTAAAACATTAAGGATTATGTAGTGATTGATATTTTTCTCTTTTCAGATACATTTATGATTTGGCAGCCAGGCAGGGCTAGGCATAGATTCCTGTAAAACCACTAGAATATTTCTTTTCTGTTTAATTCCACATACAGTTCCATGGATAGGCATGATTATATTTAAATAGGATATAGGATAGAGCAGTGGTAAGCAGGGGAGGAGGGTCTTACTCTGAGACTTCATCAGCATTCCAACACTGAAGTAATAACAGCAAGTCTCAGGCAGTAAGCTTATTAAACTTTACATCTAAAAAATATTTTTTACACATTCATTTATAAATTACCAATTTTATGTATCTTTCATGCTTGTTAGTTTTCTCTATAGTTGCTTTTCAACCTAGGTATACAACAAGCCCAAGATAGGTATTCAGAAATAGTAGCTGTATATAAACTATCATTGTTTGATTGTGATAGATTTGGTATAACATGCTGTGATTTTTCTATTTTTACTTAAATGTAACCACTGCTTTTCTTTCTTAGTATATATGTTATTGTGCATTCGTGACTATTTGGAGAATTTTGAAAAAATTCATACAAATGTCTATTCATATTCTTATATTTTTCTTTGTATTGACCAACATAAAGATAACTAGTGAATAAAATACTAATTTGAAATTATTTCTGCAAGAATCAGCTCTATCAAAGCATCCCTTTATATGACCCATTTGCAATGACAAATCTAAATAATTAAATCTTTCACTGGTTTTATTGTTTAAAATAATAATCACTTAATTTCCCCAAAGATAATCGGCTATTTCTACTGGCAGTTTCTATATGGCTTATTTCTTTATTGTCCTCTTCAGATAGGCAGTTACAGAATAGAGATTCTGCCTTCTACAGGCCTTATTTGTTTTGCAAACACTTTGCTTCCTAAGCATATCTGCTAAAAAGACATGCAAAACTAATAAACTCTCAGTTAACTCTGAGAAGAATGTGTGGGTAGCCATGTACGTTTAATACCATGTTGCAACTTTTACATATGTTCCCTGAACATGGACCACAAGTAATCATTGTGCTGTGAAAAGAATGTAAGCTGGGGAGGAGTGTTAGGTCACCTCCATGCATTCATAAATGCAAATACTGTGAGCTGCTTTTTCCTTGACTCTGAAATCACAGGTTTGGCAAGTGGCTGACTGTGCACAGATTAGTGAGCTGGCTATTTAGTTATGTGGGATGAGTACAATTTTTCTTTTACTTTTATGCCTTTAAAAAAATCAATAAAGTACATGTTGATGTTTTTAAAAACGATCTTAACTTGCCTTTTCTTCATATCTTACCATTAAGATACTCTTAAAGAATGCTTTTTGCAGTAGCTGTTATAGCAACATTTTGAAAGATAACAAAATTAACTTTTGTTGACTAGGTAGTATTAAAAATAGTCTCCTAATGTAGCTTACTAAAATGAGACAGTATGACTTCTATTTCCCATTACATTTACATACAGTAAACAAGCTAAATTTTTATGTGAAAAAAGTATTTTAAAAACTTGAATAAATGACCTTTTTTTCCTATTGAAATAAAGGTATAAACTTTCTTACCTAGTAAAGAACAGAATGACAGAAGTAGATAGCCTTAGAGATGGTTTTATTATTTCTATTACTCACTTAAAATCTTGCTTTTATAAAAACATAGTTCTATGGCTGACTTATCACTATCACTGCATATTGAGGAATTAGCCATGATACAAATGCTAAATGGTCATCTACACATGTGCGCATAGGTAAATATACACAGACATGCATGTGTGTGACATGTATGTGTGTGACATGTATGTGTGCGACATGCATGTGTGACATGTATATGGTTTTGGTTTAGTTTTAACAGTTGCTTTTTAAACATAGAATTTGATATGATGTTCCTCATATTTTATGAACATAGCAGACCCCCTCTGAGGATGCCCTCAATCCTGGTTTCAGAGATCAAGTCAAGCTCTTTCATTATCCTATAACTGAGTCACATCTTTGTGGGCATAGAGCATCCTCTCAGACTTGTGTAGTGGAATCACCTTAGCAAAGCTGAGTCTCAGATGACTTAATTTTTGAAAGTTATGTTCGTTTTAATGCCAAGAAGGGCAAGGATTCACCTTATTAGACTTGGTGTATGATGATAAAATAGTTATCAGCCAAGAGAATGTCATATCCATTTAATCACGTCTTGGTCTTAATCAGATTTGTAAAAAAGCAATCTCCTAATGGATTGTCCTTACTTGGAGTATCTAGAATAATCTGTGTCCTAGAGGTAGAAAAAATACATAATGGCTGCTCAGTATGTGTGGCTGAGTACTGAGAAGTTTCTGTTGAATGGGTAAAAGTTTCAGTTTGGGAATATGAAAAAGAGCTGATGTAGGTGGTGGTGATGGTTGCTTAGTGCTGAATTGTGCTCTTAAAAGTGATTGAAAGGGTACAATTTATTTTTTTTTTAAAGATTTATTTATTTGTGCATATAGAACTGAGGTACAGGCCAGAGGCTCAGGGACGGTGAGAGGCTTCACCAGAGACAGAGTGGGGAGCAGAACAGGCAGATCGATGAAGTACACTGCTGAGGGGAGCAGCGGGCAGGTTAGGAGAGGTCTGCCACGCCATGTCGTCACCTCCAGGACAGACGGGAATCGAACTCATGCAGAAGTGGCTTTAGCTTTTCAGTGCTGTGCTTTAACCCACTGCGCCACCAGGGAGGGCCTATTTTGTTTTTATTTTACCATAATAAAAGCAGGTGAGGAAAATTCCAGTTCATGACAGGGATGTAGGAAGATCATCTCTCACAGATATACTGAATCGGTAGCCATGTGCACAAGTTTCCCTTTAAAAAACTAGTCACTGAAGGGTGGCTGAGTGACAACTCCATGGAGGGCCTGGGACTCAGCTGCTCTGCAACATCCCCACCTAGTACGATAACCCACAAGCAAGAAGGACCACAAAACTCAGGGACTCCCCTTAGAGAGGACTGCAACATCAGCCCCCCGACACCAAAAAGATGAGCCTCCAAATTATCTAATATTGAAAATTAGCAGGATTCGTATACAAAGACCTACAAGACTGTCGAAAATTGACTCTCAAAGAGCCTGTGTGCTTAGACTCACCTGCTTCAGGACCCAGCTCAGACGGAGCCGACTGAGCACAGACTTAAGGTGAAGGGGCTCTGGCTGAGGGACACCCACGTTCTCACACACATCTAGGAGCCTGCCAAGTTAGCTGTCGGGGACACAATGGTGGCTGTCGTCTTTATGCTCTCCCTTTACTGTGCTGCAGGCACCACCATCTCAGAAGGGAGCTCCTATCAATGCCTGTGCCCCAGTTTTTGCCACTGTGCCCAGGGCCATCTCTAAATCACCTGGCTCTGGTAGCCAGAGGAGCTTGTGTTACAGCTCCCATGGGATACAGTAACCAGTGTTGCCCAGAAAGGAGCTGGTAGCCCTGTCTGATGACCTGCCTTTGATGACTGCTTCTAGGGGATACCTGTATATGACCTGGTGCAGAGGTCAGTGGGGTTGACTCTTCCCAAACACTTCTGGGAGCTCAAAGAAGTTCCTAAACAGTTCCCACTCTCAGGGCACAGCAAGAGGCTTCAGACTCTGGAGCTCAGTTTTACTGTCAAGGAGACCTGGTAACTGATCCCCAGGACAGCAGCCCGGGGGGGGG